TTGAATCGTTTCCTGCCAACATATGGCTGCGTCCCATTTTGGAAGGTCAGCAATGTAATGGGGTCTAGATAAATTTTAATATTACTTGAGTTTTCTGAGTGCCACCCCTGAAGCAGTACTTGCCCCAGCCTAGCCCATTATACACATGATAATGGCAGACTACTAGAGTTTTAATGAGCCCATTAGCTTGAGATTAAGAGAAATGTATGACATATTTTGGAGCCATAGAGGAGGTATACACTGCTGGGGTACAGAGAGAAAGCTTCACAGAGGAGATGAACATTAAAATGGGTTTTAAAGGATGAATAGGAGTTTACAGATAGAACAGAGGAAAGGCATTCTAGGGAAATAACAGCATACCCAAAGGAAGCTCTGCCCCTCAGGAGAAAAAGTGTACTTTTCCTCTTTAGGTTACTATAGAAGAGTTCACTAATATTGTTGTCTAAACTGGGCAAAATGCATAAAAGTGAGGTCCTCAGACAAGCTGAACTGTACATCAATCACACTTTGGATGCTCATTTGTTGTGTATAGATAGATATGGTTACGGAAAACAGATGGTGACATTCTCCAAGACCCTTCTGGGGGAAAACTACCATGTATAATCTGACATATGTCATAACAGAAGGTAATGAGCTGAACCATGGGATTTGAACAGTGTGTGATGGTGAATGGGTGATAAGATCAGAACCACTTTTCAGTTTATTTAAAGGTCAATTCAAATTAAATGCTTCATTTCTTGCTTTGGCCTTGCTCATTGGGTGTTATCTGGGTGCTGATATTTTGCGGGGAGCTGGCCTATAGCAGTAAAGAGGCAGCCATGGCCCCTGCCTGCCTCAATGAGTTAATAATTTAGCCCATACTCATCTTCAGAAGGACTCAAAGCAAATCTAATTCTACCAGTTAGAATGAAGGCAACATGTCCAAACATAATCAGAGAAACACATGTGATTCCCTGTGAAGATCAAGCATGAAAGGGATGAACTCAGGGGCAGTTTTACTGATCTTTGAAGTAGAGAAATGAGGCTGTGTTAGACCTTCGTAGACCTTGGGCTTCGTAGGTTTAGGGGCTCCACTCCAAACTGTACTCCCATATTAAGTAGAATTTTTGCTTTTAAAAACTCAGCTTTTCAAATTATTGGGCTAGTAACTCATTTAATTTAGAATTGCCTCTGAGTTCTTGGAAATCACAAGGCATATTTAGAAATCTTTGCAAAGTGAGAAAAATCAAACCTACAATTTATTTTTAAATATAATCAATTAGTTATGAGCCCTAAATGTAACAATGAGATTGACACGATATTGTTTTCTACACATCTGTCTGCAAATTAATAAACATTCACATTTGTTTAAGTATTTATTAATTTCTATTTTGTAGTTTTCACCTTTCGTATTTTGGAGCCAAATTTTTCATTCAGCTCTCAAACATTCTTGTAGGCCCTGGGCATTCTGCCCACAATGCCTAATGGATAAAATGGTCTTGCACACAGAACCCAGAGTGAAATGACCAATGAAATTAAGTAAAGGTGTCAGTGTATATGGTTTCTAGATAACTCTGGGAGCTCTTTTCCACTCTGTGTCAAATTCTTATAGAAGCAAAAAGAGAGGCACACACTGAAAGGGAGCAGTCTGTGTTAGCAATAAAGTATTTGCATAGCCCAGCCAATGTGGCTCAATGAGCACATGTCCAGGTTGCAGGCTCACTCCCCAGTAGGGGGCATGCAGGAGGCAGCTGATCAATGATTCTCATCATTGATGTTTCTATCTCTCATTCTCCCTTCCTCTCTGAAATTAATAAAAAATATTTTTAAAAAGTATTTGCATATTTGGTGTAGAGTGAGAAACACAAACAGGGCTGATGCAGTTCAAAATAAACTGTAAAGGGAAAGGACAAGGCGAGGGGAACTAATATTTTTAAGCCCTTGCTATGCTAAGCACTGTGCCAGGTCCTTTCTATGTATTGCTTCTTTTAAGTCTCACAGCAACCCTATGATTATTCCCATTGTACAGATGAAGAGAGCAAAACCTGAAGAAGTTCAGAGACCTGCCAAGGAATAATAGCTATGAAGAAACAGAACCAGGAGTGGCCTAACTCCAAAGCCCATGCTTTTACACAGTCCTCATGTGTCTTCTTGTTTCACGAAAGGGTGGGGATCATATTATATGATTATCTTTTCCTAACCACTGATTTAATGAGTGATGAATGTCTTTTCATGTGGATGGGATGTAAGAAGGGGGTAGAGGCTGAAGTTTCCCAGAGAGCAAAGTTGAAGTGATAGAAGGCAGAATTCACTGTCTTTTTTTCCTCCCTCAGTGATTCATTAGTAGAAAAAACTGTGGTGGATAACATTTCTGAAGCCCACAGTCTGTTTGCAACATCAAGGGAATCTTTAACTATGGAAAGTCCCAATTCACAATCAGATTGGAACATGCCCAATACACTACATGGTCCACCCCTTTACAGTACTTCTCAGAGTGCAGTCCTGGACTACCTCCCCCCGAACTAGCCAAGGAGCTTACTAAAATGCATATTCTTAGGCCTGGGCTTGGAGAGTAAGGGAGTGCATTTGCTGTGTAGTAACAGCAAATAAAATGGGAAGAAGTCTGAGGTTTTTAGACTTTTCAGACTTGGAATGAAAAAGGTTGAGTCTAAAAAAGAAAACATGTCACCTTCCTGCCAAAGTAAACTGTAATGAAAGTTTAGACCCCACCACCTCTCAGTCAAGCATTTCCTGTTCTGGTCTCCCCTGTCTGCCTCGCACAGGCTCAGATGAAGGGAGAGCTATTTTTAAGGTGCAAACAACCAGCGCTAAGAATGAGAGAAGTTATTTATTTATAGTTACACCTTTCGACTATTCTTGTTCTCCTCTGGAGACAGAGCCTGGTTTGGCTTTCCCTTTGAATCTGACGTCCGTGGGGTAATGACTTTGAAAGGTCATGGCCAGTCTATCCTCTCCAGACAGGAATCATTGTCTTGGGCAATGCTAGTCAGAAAGCTGTTTACCACTTCTTGAGGAATTCCTCCTAATGTACACCCACCACCCACCGGGCTTAGGCAACACATGTTCTTGAGAAGTGTTTTGTGAGACATACTTTATGTGTTAGAAGGTGATTAAGATGCATTTGTGGCTTTGTTATTTAAGAAATCCAAGTGTAAATCCCCTCCCCCCTATTTTTTTTCAACAGAAGATTCCATTATCATGCAAATAGATATTCTCTAATTTATATGGATTTGTAAATTCAGACTTTGAATTAGATTTTCTTGAGGCAGGACACCTCAAGAGTTGTTCTCAGAGTCAACAAGATCTTTTTGGCATAGAGAGCTGCATCTTTCCTCTTGTAATTCAGAGGTCTTTTCTTATTCCATTAAGTTTGTCATTCTTAATAATGAGAGAAGTTATTTATTTATAGTTACACCTTTCGACTATTCTTGTTCTCCTCTGGAGACAGAGCCTGGTTTGGCTTTCCCTTTGAATCTGACGTCCGTGGGGTAATGACTTTGAAAGGTCATGGCCAGTCTATCCTCTCCAGACAGGAATCATTGTCTTGGGCAATGCTAGTCAGAAAGCTGTTTACCACTTCTTGAGGAATTCCTCCTAATGTACACCCACCACCCACCAGGCTTAGGCAACACATGTTCTTGAGAAGTGTTTTGTGAGACATACTTTATGTGTTAGAAGGTGATTAAGATTCATTTGTGGCTTTGTTATTTAAGAATCCAACTGTAAATCCCCTCCCCCCTATTTTTTCAACAGAAGATTCCATTATCATGCAAATAGATATTCTCTAATTTATATGGATTTGTAAATTCAGACTTTGAATTAGATTTTCTTGAGGCAGGACACCTGTGCCTGTAGTGTTCTCAGAGTCAACAAGATCTTTTTGGCATAGAGAGCTGCATCTTTCCTCTTGTAATTCAGAGGTCTTTTCTTATTCCATTAAGTTTGTCCATTCTTAATACCAACCTCACTGGACCCCCTGTAGACCTTTGGAATTTGCCAGTAAACAAAAGAGAAAAGCCCTCCCTCTAACACTCAGGTAAGCAGCAGCATCTTGGTGTTGGCTGTTACCCTTATAAGCTCACTGACATATTTCCTTCCCAGCACTGACAGTACAGTGTCTGCTTATGTCACACACTACAATGTAAGCATCGTGAAGGTTTGGCTCACTTTTTAATTCGTCACTGCATCATAAGAATAACTTTTAAGATGCTTAAAAGTCATTCAGTTAACACATTTCTATTTATCTCAAATTGTTATCACATTGGAATTATATAAAGTGCTGACAAGGTCATTCCTTCCCTTTCTTTTATTTTCTTTTTAACATGATGCCTTTCTAAATATCCTAGCTCCACTCTTTTCACCCACTGGCTCAGGCATTATTATGGGAATCACTTGAAGGATAAGAGGATGACTCCTTTCTAAATACAAGTATCTCTGTGTTTTAAATGAATCAAACTGTAAGCCAGTAACTGCAGAACAAGTTGGTTGGCATGACCCACTCCCAGCTTCCTTGCTTCCTCTACTTCTAGTGGGCTCTTTGTGTGCCAGGCCAATGGGGTCATGACTCAGCTTTTGGTGAAAGGAGGGTCCTTGCTGCCTCACTGCGCTTGTACAAAATTTGGTGCCTTGTACCACTTAGGGAAGAAACAGAAAGACTAGAAACTATTTGAGTGCAGAACCTAGGTCTAAAAGCAGATCTATCAGAAAGATGGAAACAACTTAATGATCCAGTATGCCCTGGAATGGCATGGGAATCCATGATGCCTTTGGATCAACAATAGTTGGCACATAGTAGGAATTCAAAAAAGTTTTGCTGACCAATGAATGAAAAAAATGATGCAAAAATAATGCTGAGCTAGGGTATTTAGATATACTTACCGCTTGGAAGACATACTTACTTCTTGGAAGGGTCAAGTTCTTATTTTGGGAACATTTCTATTACTCTGAGTGCAGTGGAAAAAAATAAATTGGAATAAAAATCCAGTCAGTTGCTCACTCACCTTTTTACTTAAGTGGGGACCATTAGCCCCTCCAATGCCTCTTTGCACTGATGGTGGTACTTGATACACATCTTGTTCCTGGGTACCATGGCCAGTGGGTACTTGATAAATTCCCTGATTTTGGTAGGAAGGTGGTACTTGGTAGATGATGTCTCGAGGAGCACCTTGTGGGTTTGGCACTTGATAGAGCTTCTGTTGGCCAAAGGTCTGGTGCATCAGTCCAGAAGTAGGCTGGTCCTGACTGGAGGAGGTCTCCTGTACTGGGCCAATGAGAAGCTTCACCCGGTTGCCTGGGACAATCCCTTGCCGGCCGTGTAAGGAGCAGAGCCACCATCCTTCCAGTCCTCCTGTGTTCTGCTCTATGACAGTCAGGATTTCTCCCTTGCGGAAGGCCAGTTCCTCAGCACACTCTGGGACATTGTCATATAAGGCTCTTGCCATAAGATTCTAGGAAGGAAAGAACAGAGGGGAATCATGTTAGAATAGTAGCTTAGTCCCTTTAACACCTAAAGCTCATGCTCCTATGGAGAGGCACACCTCCTGGAAAGAAGAGAAGAATAAATCTAAACGATTGCCTGTAAGGAGAAAAACAGATGGTGCAGACAAAAGACAGATACATACATTCTGCGTCTGCCACCAATGACATCAGACTGCCTCCTTGGAAAGGCTCAGAACACCACAAGAGCTCTTTCCTCTCGCAGCCGATGCCGTGCCAAGGAATTATGAGCAGCTCTGTTAAAGAGTCAGAGGATGGTTCCCTATACAAAACATTTTTCTTCCTCTCCCAAAGCCAGCTTAGGAAGGAAAATATTCCAAGATATTCAGATATACTACAACTGACATTTCTCAATTTTTTTCATAAAGAGTTAAAGAACATCCCTAAAAACCAACAGTATGAATGGCATTTATATTCGGAGTTAAAATGGAAACAAAAGTACACTTATACATGCCTTGGCAGCGCTTACAAATTCTCATTCTCAGTTGATCACAAGGTCCTTGGATACGGGAGAATCTCCAAGCAAGCATTTCTCCACGATCCATCAAGCATGGAGCACAGTGTGACAGTATTTGCATCTCCAGATTAGATGGCGGGGAGCTACAAAGAATGTCTCACACGTGGGTAGATACCATTTCTTTCTCTTTTGGTCTTTTATTCATACCTTTCCTGAAAGCCCCTCCTCACCGTGCCACTATTTCCTTGAGTCTCGCCATTCACATTAGAAAGGCTGTGCCTTTCCCTTTCAGGGGCCCAAAACACTTTCTCTCTTTGTATGAAGGCCTGTCTGGTACATTCAGTACTAAGCAGACAGCCAAAGTAGGCATTCAGCGGAGAGTGGGCAGGCAGTACGTGCTGACATTCTTGGAAGCCTTTCAAAGGCTCCAAAGATTTCATTTCTTGGCGTTAGCAATGTTTCGCAGCATGATGGCAGCCATCACCACATGCCTGCTCCTTCCCAGCGCACAGAGGAGTCAGGGAGCGTTGTAAATTCACTGCAAGCACTCAGAAAACTAAAAGTGATCCCTCTAGAGCTCCACTAAAATGTCTGGATGCACTAGAAATTGCTGCAATGATGACCATTTGTGGGAGGAAGGGCTGCCGAAGGGATGGAACATGTTTGTGACTTTACACAATAGTGGAATTTGAGGTTGTTGTTTGGACTTCTGTGCCCTGTTTTCTTCTCTAGAAATGTGGACTTGATCTTTGAGTTTCATGCTTTGCATTCCTTTATAACTGACACACATTAATCATCTCCCCCCGTACGGTGCCCCATAGCCGCAGGCCTTGCTCTGTGTGCTGGTTCTCCACCATGGAGCGGCTGTGCTCTATAAGGGATCTCCCCTCTGGTTGGTGGTTGAGATGGGGTCCTATGTTTACTCTGTTCACCAAACTCCTTAGTCAGTACAACTACTTAACCTAAGGAAAGGATATAAGGCCATAGTGGTCAGTACCAGGAAGCCTAGTGATGCTCTTTAAGGATAAGGTTAAAGTCTGTTCCTGAAAGTTTTGAACTCCAGGAAGTCAATGTACCCAGGTGAGCAGTGAGGGAAGCCAAAGGGAAACTAAGGGGTTTGTGTTCCAGGTGAACGCTTTACTTAGTATTTATATTCCAGGAAGCTTTGGGTTCCTTTCAACAATTAAAAGTTCATTTAATAAAGACAGAATCATGAATTATTTTATTCTGCTTTGAGGAGCCATTTAAGAATGTGTCCTAATCTCAATATCTCTTCTGTTTCTCTTCTTCCATCTTTCGGATGTTCTGTAGTTTAAAAGAAAAGTCATAGATTATAGAAGACAGGATTCTGGTTGTTTGTACCAAAATGATTTGAGGAAAATTACTTCCCAGAGTGGACTGAAATTATAGAACAGGTAGAGAGCTGACCCTAAATCTCTGTTCCTTTTTCCAGGGCCCATTCAACAACTGGGAATGGCTGGTAAGGAGGCCCCAAGATGAAATCAGAAGTGATAAAGAGTAGGGGCCAGTTCTACGGGAACTGAGGGTGGATAGCTGTGCAATTATATTGGCTTCAAAGCAAGGAAAGAAAAGAAACAGAAAACAATAGAAAGGCAGAAGGCTACAGACTTAATCAGCATGAATAAGTAAGTAAGTTGAGGCTTCGGGAGTTGGCCCTGCCATGGGATTCATGAAGCACTGAAGTAGAGCACAGACCATGCATGATCAGAGGCAGGCAGAAGTCGCTGTGTGAGGGTGTTCTGGATGTTTTGTCTCCTGTTCCAGTGACCTTCCCATCAACTGGTAAGCAGCACGCTAATGTTTCTAGATGTGCCCCAAGAGCTGCTTCTCTGGGAATACTTTCAGAGCCTATTGTCCTTGCTAATGTAGCTGCCTGGGTGAATTCTCCTGATTAGTTGTCCATGATTTCCAAGCAGTCCTCCCTACTGCCTATGGAGAACAGGACTTAGAGAGAGTTTGGCATGGCTGTTAGTGCTAGGCACCCCATTGCTAGCTTGACAACTCACACATGGATAGATATTCTTAGTCTTGGCTGAATAGGAGTGAATTATTTAATGTCTATGCAAGCTACAGAGAGCCAACGTCTACACCCAGCCACTCTCCCAAACAAAAGATTCCAGCTACAGAGAACTTTAGAGACACCTGGACCCATTCTCCCTGTTTTACAGACAAGGAAACAGGTCTGGGGAGGGCGGGGCGGGGGCGGGGGGAGTTTATCATTTGCCTAAGGCCACACGGTTGGTGTCTCAGATGAGAGGAGAACTGTGGTATCAGTTCAATTCTCTCTCCAGAACTCTAAACCACCTTAGCTCTACTACACAGTGTCCTCCTGACTGGGCTCAATTCCACTATATTTCATTCAGTAAAGTTCTAAAGATGACCAATTCTTCTTGTCAGGTCTCTAAATAGATTCTTGGGATTTGGTGTCCTAACTGTGCAACTTGGGCAGACTACCTCTCCCCTTGTGCCTCAGCTTCCTCATCTATAAAATGATGATGTGAATAACTGCACCCACCTCATGGGTTTGCCATGAGGATTAAATGAGGTAATTCAAGTCAAGTACTTTAACACTGACAGAGACTTAGAAAGTTACTATGACTATTTAATTTGCTGGATGGCACTTTGGCCTTGGGCTCCCTACCCTGTTCGTCTCCTCTCAGTTCTCTGTCAAAGACTGGTCCAATGCTAATGATACTACTATATATACATATCTGATATTTCCCTTGCTCACAGTTACATTTAGGAGAACCATCTCTTAAAACAATAATGCTTTGAATTAATAATGAGTTCTAGGCATTGCAACCTCTTGTTGAGTATCTGCCTACAAGCAGCAATAATGAAACTGCTTGTTGCATTCAGGAGACCTTCTAAGGCAAAATACTAATACTAATACAATGATATTACTGGGCAAATTTTGAATAAGTATTATTAGATTCTAGCAGAGTACAACCCATCAAAAAGGGAGGGAACATGGATAAGGGCTTGGCTTTTGAAAATACTTGGTGTGGTAGGGCAGGAGTTCAGTAAGATGATAACAGCAAAATTAACTTCAGCCGGAACACAAATCATCTCATTCAAAAGAGCACATGCAATTTATAAATAGGCGAATTAAGAGTTTAATCTGCTACCTAGGCGAAGGTGGGGGAACCCTCTCCTTCAGTGCAAAGGTATGAGTCCGTAAGGCCACAAAGTCAGAAGGTGGTTATCTGAGTATCTTAGAAAAACCCAGGAAAGGCAGACCTACTCTTTCTTGCCCCCACCCACCCCATATTTACCTCCATGGCAGGAAAGGTCAACACAGAAACAACTCAAGGAGAGATAAGAGAGCTATACAATTCTGTATCTAGTTGGATGGTTAGCCTCCAGAGGCTGGCAGTTAGAAGGGCAGCTTGAGCTTGGCAAAGCACCAAACAGTGGGGCACAGAACTTGAAAGCCAGAGGAGCTTTAAACAACTATAGTCAAACTCTGTCACTTTATAAATGAGAAAAACGAGGTTCAAGAAGTTAATGATTTGCCAAAGTCACCTGGCAAGAAGGTCATGGAGCTGGGACAAGAATTCAGGCTTTCTGTCTCCAGCTCCAGAATTAGGACAGCATTGAATCCAGTCAAATACATATGCTACAGAAGTTGTGGCTCTAATCAGGATCCTAATTGGCCTTTAGGGTCATAAATCCTGTTTGAGGGGATCCTAATTGTAGCAGCCTCTCACATGGATCCCCATCCCAGTATTTCTTGAAACTATTCTGGCTTCTACTTCTCTCTCTCTTCTCTTGTTCTCATGAGCACTCACCTTCCTTTCATTCACAGGCTAAAAAAATTTTGGCTCATTCCTTAAGTGATTATATTCCAAAGGGATGTCTCCTTGGCACTTGTCTCACTCCCTACAGGCAATCTCATCCATGGTGGTGGTATCTAAACACAGATAGCACTCAGATCCAGAGCTCCAGCCCAGATATTTGTTCTGCATGCCAATCCCACATTTCCAATTGTCTAATGGGTTCTTTATTTCAACATTAACAAGTGCAAAATTCCCTTTCTCCTGCTTTATCTTAGTTAACATTATGCACGCAGCTGAAAACCTCTGAGATCTGAGTGTCTTCACAACCTGACACCCAATCAGCTTGGACCCTCTTTCCCCCTCTCACTGCCACTCCTAGTTCAGGCCCTCAGCAACTTTTGGGGGGAGTAAGGCAAATGCTTCCCAATGGTTTTCTTGCATTTGAGGTGGTCTTCCCACCTCAAAATCTATCTTCCACCTAACCAGAATAGTTATCTTAACAAAACCTATCTAATCGTGTCTCTTCCCAGTTTTCTGTAATGGTAGTTCTTACTGTATAACTTGTATTAACCAATTCAAGATTGGAAGCTCCTTAAAGTCCAGGGAGACTGTCTTATTGCTTTGGCATTTTCAGAACTTTATAGCCCAGTGTCTGAAACAAAATACACACTCATTAGATGTCTAAATTGAAATT